ACGTCGACGTTCTTGCAATAAGCGTCGGGGGGGCGTCACCCCCGCAGACAGCCCCGCATCGACCCCCGTCGCGGGCAGCCACCGCGCGCCGAAGGCGCTCCGACCCCCCGTCGCGGCGCGACGACGAGCCGAGGTTTGTCCCCGTCGGGGGGGACCCCCCCCACGCTCATTAAGACACAAAGATTAGGCATCCTAGATGGGGTCCGAGTAATTAGATGGTGTCAGAGGATCATGCCGCATCGCCGATGTATCGGCGATGCGGCGCGATCCTCCGACCCCATCTACTCCGACCCCATCTAAGAGGTCTCTAAGACGGTCAGACCGAAGTATAATATTCAGGTCGGTTCGGGGAGGGTACCTTGATGTTGTTCGTGGTTGTTGGATGTTCTTGTGCGTCCTGGGGGAGGGTACCCTCGAAGGTTCTTCGGTTTGGCCGGCGGAAGGTATCATGCTATTGAAGGAGATTTGTTTGCTTAGGTCCGGCCGTACCGCATCACAACGGTTGGCGGGCGTAGGCATTTGGGAGTTACGTGTTGCCGCAAGGCCCGGGGGCGGCTCAGAAGCGGCGTAGCCTGAGAGCCGCAAGACATCGGCCGAACATCACCCTCGTTTCGCGAGGTCCGAGTCCCGCAGGCTTTCGAGCGGGGATGGCGTCCGCGAGAGAAGGGCAATCGGTGCATGGGGGGGCAAGCTTTCCAGATAGCTCGTGATACGTATCCTTTGTGGGGCGCGTACTTGGGGGTGCGATAGATGAGGGGGCGGCGAGGGCTGCAGAAAGGAACCCTCGTGGGCCCTTAAAGGGGCCGCTCAGGGCCCGAGAAGGGGCCCTTTAGGGTCCGAAAAGGGCACGTGTCTCCCAACCCGAATTTATCGTCCCCCCCTTAAGTTCGCTCCCAAACTCTACTTATATGAACGTGTTGACCCACTGTGTGGAAGCCATGAAGATTGAGATACCCGGACAGAAAGAGTCTCAGTATACAGTTGCTTGCGGCAAGTCCCGCCGCCATGCCAGCTCAGCACTCTGGGTGGCGACTGCTCGAGGGGCGCATGGGAGGCTGTGACGTGACTTGGGAGAGCTGTAGCACGTACCGCGCTCTTGCGCGTCGTGTCGGTGGACCTCTCCTCTTCCTCGTCGTCAGCCTCGTCCAGACCGAATGTTCCCTTCTCTCCACGGCCCTCCTTCCCTGTAGCCGTTACTCATCATTCCTTCTGCCTTCTCTTCTGTGTAGGGAGAAAAGGAGCAGTGCTCAGAAGGCCGTAACATGTGACACCTCTGTTGTCTCGACGTTGTTGGTGAAGCTCTTGTTGCGAGGAGCAGGAGGATGGGAAACGGAGCAGGCGGAGGAGGAGGAGGACTAGGAAGGACGTAATTAACATACGGTACATCTTGTCTCGGCATTACTTGATAAGTGTAATGTGTTACTTCCCGAGCCGCCAGAGAGCCAGAAGAAGCAACGGTTCTCGAGCCAGCGCAGTACTCTATGAGGCGACGTTTCGAGCACCGCCCAGAAGGTCGCCCGTATTCCTTGAGGGGCCTCCATGGAGCCTACTTGGGCCGCCGTGGGGCTGTCTTGGGCTGCCGTGTGGCCGCATCGGGGCCCTCCTGGGAACCTCTTGGGCCGTTCGGTGGCTCCTTTGGGCCGTCTCGAGCCCTGAGGCCGCCTTGGGTCATTTTGGGGTCCCCCTCAGCCGTCCGGAGGGCCTTCTGCCGGGCGGCAGCGGGCGCCACTGGAGGGGGGAGGGGGTGGGGCAGGGCAGGTCGCGCGGCGGCTCGCGCGGGCGCCGGCTCGGCATGTGCAGGGATGGCCAGGGACAGCTCGGACGTCAGCGCGAATCGCGACGTTACCCTTGGGTGGGTGGGGCGGCAGGGGCCGGTAACGGGTGCGATCGCGTCTCATGAATATATATATCTATATATATATTCAATATATATATATATACCACATATATATATATATATATATATATATATGCATATACATATATACATATATCAAATTATCATTTATATATATATATATGTGAGTATATATGTATGTATACAGATACATGATCATATATATATACGGAGAAAAAAGGGAAAAAACAAAAAAACGCTCTCATCGGAAGTCAACGGGGGCTGTTTCGGAGACCTTTGGGAGCCCTCTCAGGCCCTTTGGAAGCCCTCGTGGGTTGTCCTTCCTTGGCCCCTCCTGGGGACCTCTTGGGGCCGTCCTAGGAGCTTCATATTGTGTTCTGTGGGCGTCTCTTTGGTTCCTTCGTTGCCGAGAGGCCCGAGGAAACCCAAAGTATTTGAAACCCGATGATTGCCGAATTATGTTGGCCTGCCAGAGGAATATGTTGAGGTATGTACGCAGGCTTGAGTCGGGCACGTCCCTCTACAGGAGGAGTACTCAGAAGTAGTCAAAAAATCGTCTGGGGACGATTGTTTGACTATTTTTGAATATGTTTGGTGTATTGTCTGACTATTTTTCAGTTTTCGTCCAAAATCCCCTGTAGGGGGACACGCCCGACCTGAACGTAGGCCAACCCGGAGGGCATGTTGGCTCTCACTTTTGGCAGCATGGAGGCCCGTTGTGGCGTCTGCAGGGATGGTCTTTTGGGGGGTCTGCTGGATTCCCAATTGAGGCGGCCTTGGTGGTCTTCCTGGGCCGCCTTGGAATCGAAGAAGACAAAACCACACGAACATAGAGTTTTGGCGCTCCGCGCGCATTTCTTGGATCCGCGCCTGGGCCCCCCGGCGGCGCCTCCGGCGCCGCCCCTGGCGCGCTCCGCGCGCCAGAGAGGAGGGTCCAACGCGAATCCAAGCAATCCGCGCGGAGCGCCAAAAGTTTATGTTAATGTGGTTGTTTCGTCTTCTACGGAAGCCCTTCAAGAGGGTAGAAGAGCCCCAGGGAATCGTCATGTTGCCCAGAGGGCCTCAGGGCGGAGGGGGCGACGCGCGCAGCGAAGCGTGGCGCGTGGGGAGGAGGAGGGTGGGGGGTGGGGGCAGCGGCCCTCTGGAGACATGCAGAACCCCTTCCAGGCAGCACTCGGCATTCTACCTTGCCGCAATGCGCCAGGGGACGCGGTGGCGTATATTTGGCTTACCTGTGCGACTGTGCGATGTGTGGCTGGGGGTGGTCAGACTTGATTCGCATGTCGTTCAATGCGTTGCTCCATGCGCCGCCGTGCATTCATCTATCCGTCAGCGATCACCTCAATCCGTATATCCATCAATCACTGCACCGATCCAACTCACAGTCGATTCACACATCAATAGTAGCCGGCTCACACGTGGTCGATTGCACTACGGCACCATTGCACGACGGAGCCGAGACGCGATGTGCACACGATGACCATGGCATCACAGCATCCACGACGCCACACAGAGCAGCCGCCCGCCACGGGAACTGTTCCCCCGGGCAGATCCTCGGCGACACCCCTGACCTCGGGGGTCCCCAAAGGATGCGGTGACCCAACCGTGCGGTGAGTCGGTGGGGGCTCGGAATGGCCACACCGTTCTGGGACGTTCTCCGAGGACGCCTCGGGAGACTTGGGGCCTCCAGGGTCCCGAGGCCGTGCGGTGACGGATCGCGCGGTGGGCATCGCACGGTCCGTCACCGTAGAGTTCAGGGACCCTCTCATGACACCTTTGCATCACGCGCAGCTTCGCACGAAGGGCTTGCCACTCGGCACGAACACAGCGCGTGAAGCTCGCTGTTCTGGTTGGCAGGGGCCTCGCAGAAGTTCGAATACCCAAACCTCAAGCTTGTAGATGAGAAGAGAGCACCGCGTGATGGGCCCATTTTCCACCACCACTAACTACCAATGTAGGAGAGGGAGGAGGAGGAGGAGGAGGAGGAGGAGGAGGAGGAGGAGGGGGAGGAGGAGGAAGACCCTCTCATCCTCCCTTTTCCCCGGTCCTACAGAAGGTAGTGGTGGTGGAAAGTTTGCACGTCAGCCGCGGACCCCATCCGAAACCTCCGGCAGCTTCCGACCCGAGGAGCTTTTTAGGGGAACAAAAAGTGACATAGACATAAAGCCTCGGAGGTCCGCGCGGATTTCTCGGATCCGCGCTGGACCCCCCCCCCCTCCCTGGCGCGCGGAGCGCGCCAGGGGCGGCGCCGGAAGCGCCGCCAGGGGGCCCCAGCGCCGATCCGAGGAATCCGCGCGGACCCCCGAGTTTTTATGTCTATGTCATTGTTCGTTCCCCTACTTTTGCACAGTCGGGGCGCTGAAGAAGGAACCCTTTTCGTTGTGGAGGGGCTCCGTGTTCCTTCATTGTTTCACAGCTTGCCGCATGGTTTCCTTATGTATTCGACGGGAAATCGAAGTTCAACTCCCGGGAAAAAGGGGCCTCGTTCCTGATTTGGGGTTCCTCGGGTCAACGCCCCGACTGCACTCGACGGCGGGGCCCGCCGGGAGCCCGCTGCCTTTCCCCCTGGAGAGGCAGCGGGGCAGTCTGCACCGTGCGGCGGGCTCGCGCCGCGCCGCCGCGGCGACCCCGCCGCGGGCAGTTCGAGGGTGGAGCGCCTCCGGCGGCCTGCAGAACCAGCCTGCAGGGAGCGACCCTGACCTTCCAGAGAGCTATCTTCTAGCACTGGAGACCTGAAAACCTAAAAAACGAAACGAAACAGCCTGAAACCAAGACGCAGAATAGCTCTGGGATAGGTTTTTATGTCGCGTGCTATTTGTTTGCCCTCCTGGAAGGTCAGGGGACCTGGCCCCAGAGCTCCAACGCATGGGAAAACTCGGGACGGAGGTTTTCCGCAAGGTTCGGCCTCTATAGGGGCCCGGGACCGTGGAACAAAAGGGCTCAGGATGAAAAGCGGGTCCTGGGGAATGGGTCGAGACTTTCGGGGACCCCGCACTGACAAAAATCACGACACCGGATCTCGGGGGCCATCGAAGAGCCGCCGATCGTTCGAGGTTGAAAGAATCCGCGCGGTGTCAGAAACCAACGCCGGGGTCGTCACGGAACGGACCTGCCGTGTGCTCTTCCGTCCGGAGTCTGGAAGGTCTTCAAGCTCGGGCTGGCGAAGTCGATCCACCACGCCCGCGTGCTGATCCGCCAGCGCCACATTCGCGTCGGCAAGCAGATCTGCAACATCCCGTCGTTCCTGGCGCGCCGCGGGGCAGCTTGGGGGCATGAGAGCAGATGCTCGGCCACGTTTGATCGAGCAGGAGCACTGCACTGGCGTGAACTCTCGAAGCTCGTCGCGGAGTTCTTGGGTCGGCGTTGAGCCCTGGCGGCGCCTCCTGCGCTGCTCCCGGCGCGCTCCGCGCGCCGGGGAGGGGGATTCCTGCTCCGATCCCAGAAGTCCGAACGGACCTCCGAAAGTCGATGTCTGTGCAGTTGTTTGTTCCTGCGCTGGCGTCACACGTTCCACGAACCTCGCGGTCGCCACCTCTTCCCTGACTCTTCTCCCTCGTGTTCCCTCCGTTCTCCGCGCTCCCCTCTCCCTCGCGCACACACGCAATTCGCGTCTCTCCCCGAAAACCAACCCGAGTGCACGGGAGGATGAGGAGATCCATAATTCGCGTGCGGTTTCGGTTGAGGATGTGGTGATGATTGGCGGTTTCGTTTGGGAAGCGAGGTCCCGCTCAGGGTGCCCTGGGTGGTGTCGTTCCGCTGGTCTCCTCAGACCTTGGAGCTGGCGGCATGCTGCACGTTTCACAGCACGCAGGGAAGCGGAGGAGGGGGGAGCCAGAGGGGGGCAAGACCAGGGAGGAGACGAGAATAGAGGCCAGGAGAGAGGAGAGAGGAGGCGAGGACGAGAAGAGTTCTCTAAGTAGTTTTACCCGAGAAAGGTCGCAGCTTAGGAAGATAAGGGAGAAAGTCATGCGCAATGGAAACGGGCGGGAATCGCTTCGGAGAGGCACGGAGTCCGATCTCAACCCTCCGGATGTCTGTGTTTACGTGTCCGTCGATCGATCTGCATACATGTGCCACTATGTGTATGTTTCCCGATATTGTTCTCTCTCTCTCTCTCGTTCGCTCCCTCTCTCTATCTCTTTCTTACCCTCTCTCTTCTATCCTCTCTCACTCACTCTCTCTCTCTCTCACTCTCTCCCCTCGCCCCGCCGTCGTCTTCGTCCTTCTTCCTGCTCCTCGTCGTCGTTGTCGCCGGAAGCATTCTATGATCCACGTGGATGCAGCCATCGCCCCGCAGAGGCTGCGGAAGCTACAGTCATCATCGCCCTTCCAGTGTCCTGCGTCTCGCGACCCAAGCCTCTTGCATTCCTGTGGCGACGTGGCCCTCGGAAGGCTCTTGTGTTCTCTCGCGTGTCCTGTCCAATCGAGTCCGACTGTAAATTGGAAGCCGGGCAAGGGCTGCTAAATCCGTGGCTGCTAAAATCGACCTCGGGGAAGTTGTCTTCGTCCTTGCGGGAAGAAGCCCGCTGACCCTTTCGCGTGCCGCGCCTCATTCCGGGAATGTGTTTTTTCCTTCCGGGAGGGCCGTTTTAGCAGCCACGGTGTTAGCTAAAACGACGCGAAGATCGGGACAAAATCGGATCGGGATAACTCGAAATCTCTGAGAATCGGCGGGGTTGGAGGATGTATTGGGTGCCGCGGCCCTTCCAGAGCGCTCCGGAACGCTCTGAGAGCGCTCCGGAACGCTCTGGAGCGATGTATCCCGATCCTGGCCCTGTTTTTATCAGCAGCCCTCGCCCAGCTTTCGAGCAGGGACGCAGGACCCTTGGAGGCCGGAGCTCGGATTCCAGGGGGCCGCGGGCGGCCAGCGGAAAAAACAAGGGCGCCCTCGAGTGCGCGAGGTTATTCGCGCTTCGCGCTTCGCGGTTCGGCTCCGATTCCTCCTCATCCTCCCCTTCTACCCTGGGAGGCGGCGCGAGAGCGCGAAGTTATTCGCACTTCGCGCTTCGCGCAGCGCGAAGCGCGAAGTTGGGAGCCCTTGCTTGGAGGCCGGAGCTCGGATTCCGGGGGGCCGCGGGCGGCCAGCGGAAAGAAGCGGCAGGGGGCGGGCCGCAGAGGCGGGGACTATACGAGGGCGCCCCGGGCGCAGGCGCGCGGCCTCGCCAGGCGCGCGGGCTGCAGTGGCAGCGATTCGCCCTCCAGGGTCACACCTTAACCCTGACCTTCCAGGAGTCAGAGCGTGAATTACCTACCCCGCTTTCGCTTCTAGGCAAAACCAAGTCATACCACGCGCCTCCTCGTCAAGCGACCTGTCCACTACAGGCCGTAGTTTGGCATCGCTTGGTATCTCTTGGAAGCGAGGGTGGTCAAAAGCGAGGTAGGTTTGTTTTCCCCTTAAGGAGGGCCCCTGAGATCCGATGGCCCCTGGGATCCGAGGTCGTGATTTTTATTCAGGGCGGGGTCCCCGAAAGTCTCGACCCATTCCCCACAGGACCCGTTTTTCATCCTGAGCCCTTTTTTGTCCACGGTCCCGGGCCCCTATAGAGGCCGAACCTTGCGGAAAACCTCCGTCCCGAGTTTTCCCATGCGTTGGAGCTCTGGGGCCAGGTCCCCTGACCTTCCAGGAGGGCTAAAAAATAGCACGCGACTTAAAAACCTATCCCAGAGCTATTCTGGGTCTTGGTTTCAGGCTGTTTCGCCTCGTTGTTAGGTTTTTAGGTCTCCAGTGCTAGAAAATAGCTCTCTGGAAGGTCAGGGGTGAAAGCGGTTCGCCCTCCACGGTCACACTTGAAGGGAACAGAGAGTGACATAAGCATAAAAGCTCGGAGGTCCGCGCGGACTTCTCGGATCGGCGCGCTCCGCGCGCCAGGGAGGGGGGGTCCAGCGCCGATCCGAGGAATCCGCGCGGACCTCCGAGTTTTTGTATGCTTCTGCCACTTGTTGTGCCCCTGCACCTGGCGAGCAAGTGGTCGGGGCGAAGCGCCGGGCGCGCCCCCCCAACGCGCCTGGTGGTGCGACGAGGAGGAGCTGCTCCACAAGGCTGCCGGCCGATCGAGGGAGGGGAAGGCGCACACGGAACAGTGCCGAGCATTCAAGCAGTGGCGAAGCGTCCCGGCTCGCCTAGAGCCCCACCAAACAATGTTCTAAGAATTTGTTGTGGTCTCCACGAAATGTTCTTAGAGCATTTCTGTCTCGGACTCTCTTGTTCTAACACGCCGGTCTCATGTTCTAAGAGCATTGTTTTTCTTCTTAGAACATGTTTGGGTTCTAAGAACACTTCGTGGCATGACTATAGGAATGCCGGGACGGTCGGTCCCTGCTCAGAGCACGGTGCCATGGGCCCCCCCGGGGGGGGTCGCCGTGGGGACAACGGGTCCCGAGGGAGACGGGTCCTGAGTTTTTCGCCGCCGTCGGACTCTCGGGGCCCTCCACGGGAAAAAACACACACACACACAAAAAAAAAACAAAGCAACAAAAAACACACACAATAAACACAAAACAAAACATACACAAATACACAACAAAACACACACAGTGGGAAAAACACACACACACACACAAAGCAAAACACACACACACACACACGTGGGAACAACATACAAAACAATACACAACAGTGTTTGTTGTTTTCCCACAGTGTGTTTTTTTTTTCCCACGGGCTCCGGGAGGGATGATCAAAAAACGAGCCCTCGCACCCCCCCCTTGCACCCCCCCCATGGAGTAGATCTTGGTTGTTTTTGGCGCCTGTTTCAAGCAGGTGGAGTCTCCCAATTCGGACGCACTGCTGTAAGCAGTCGTGCTAGGCAGAGGTCCAGAGACAGACCGCCCTCCCCCCCCCCTCCCCCCCCTTCCGCCCAATGTCGAAACGCCGAATAAGAAAACGCTCACGATGAAGACTTCGTCCTGGGGGAAGGCCCCCGGTTCCAGGAGCCGTTTCCCTCAGGACCCTCCTCCCCAAGGCTACAGTCGAGCCGCTGAAGAAGAAACCTCTTCGCTGGGGATGTGCTCAGTGTTCCTTCACTGCTCTTTCAGGCGATTGCAAGCACAGATCAAGGGGGCGCGGGGTAGCGACGGGTCCCAGTTCCATGGGAAATCGCGGATTTCCGCCGCCGAGCGAGGCGGCACCGGCCGCATTCTGGGGAGGGTACTTCCCCCCGATCCATGGATCTGGCGGCCGCGCGCCAAATCCACGGATCGCTAATCCATGTTTGCGCGTCCCCGATTCTTCAGGTCGTCAGAGGTGTTCCTTTTTGGTTGTCTATGGACCAACGAGTGGAAAACAAGAGGCCTCGTTGATGGGCCTGTTCCCCACCACCACCACTACATGTTGGAGGGGGAGGGGGTCCTCCTCCTCCTCCTTCTCCTCCTCCATCTCCTCCACCTCCTCGTCCTCCACCTCCTCCTCCTCATTCTCCTCTTCGTCCTCCTCCTCCTCGTCCACCTCCTCCCCACCTCCAGCTTATGGTGGTGGTAGTGGAAAACAGGCCCATTACTCGTTCCTTATGGAGGGCTCCTTATGTCAGCGCCTCTCGACTGCAAGGTGGGGGGAATGCTGCCGAGGGAGCCACCAGTTTCGGCGTGGCGGCTGAATTATAGGTCGGGCCTGTCCCGCTACAGGAGGAATAGATTCAAAAATAGCCAAAAACATAGTCTGGGGACGATGTCTTGACTATTTCTGATCATTTGGGAGTATGGTTTGACAATTTTGTATTTTGCATCCAAAATCCGCCTGTAGGGGGACATGCTTGCAAAATCCCCTGTGGGCGGCGTGCCCGACCTAATGGTTGCATTGCACGACGTGGACCGCCAGATGTTCTGGACACCTTCCCTGGGGACTGGCTCTCAATCCTGGGCCGCCTTTGGACTTGGCATCGCTCGGACGTGTGCATTTTCCTTCTCCGAGGAGCATCCTGGATCATCCGGCGGAAAATGAATACACGTACGAAGCCGAACCATGCACGAGGAATGGACGTCCGAGCGATGGCGAACTTGGGCCGTCTTCGAATGGTCCAAGAGCCTGGGGGTGCCAGGGCGCGGTGGGGGGCATCGGTGGTTTCACGCAAGAGATTGTCAGGTGAGGGGCACTAAGAACAGAGTTCCCGGGGCTCGAGGGTGCCAGGGCGCAGAAGGGGGTATCGGTAGGTTTCAGGCCAGAACTTGTCGGGTGGGGGGGTCCAAAGAACAAAGTTCCAGAGGCGTGGGAGTGCCGGGGCGCGGTGGAGGGCATCGGTAGGTTTCACGCCAGAGATTGTCGGGTGAGGGGGTACCAAGAACAGAGTTCCCGAGGCCTGGGGGTGCCCGGGCGCAGAAGGGGGTATCGGCAGGTATCAGGCTTGAAATTGTCGGGAGTGGGGTCCCCAGAACAGAGTTCCAGAGGCCTGGGGGTGCCCGGGCGCGGTAGGGGGAATCGGCAGGTTTCACGCCAGAAATTGTCGGGTGGGGTGTCCCAAGAACAGAGTTCCAGAGGCCTGGGAGGTGCCGGGGCGCGGTGGGGGGTATCGGTAGGTTTCAGGCCAGAAATTGCTGGTAGGTCTCAGGCCAAAATTTCCGAATGGAGGGCTCCAAGAACATAGGACTGGGGGTGCTGGGGCGCAGAAGGGGGTATCGCTACGTTTCACGCCAGAAATCGTCGGGTGGAGTGTCCCAAGAATCAGTGGACCAGGGAGCTGGAGGGCCAGGGCGCGGCGAGGGGTATCGGTATGTTTCACGCCAGAAATTGTCGGGTGGGGGGTCCTAAGAATCCGTGGACCAGGGAGCGGGGGTGCCGGGGCATGGTGGAGGGCATCGGTAGGTTTCAGGCTCTGAATTGTCCGGTGGGGGGCCCCAAGAATCAGTGGACCAGAGAGCGGGGGTGCTGGGGCGCTCCAGGTCAGAACATCACAAGAAAGGACGAAGCGTCGTGTTGGAAGCCGCCCACAGGCAAACAGTTGAGTCTCACGCGCCGCTGGGGCCGGCGGAGTATACAGGATGACTGCGTCAGCCCACTGTGCGTCTGCCCCGTCCAGGTCCGCCGACAGCACGCAGCCTGTGCATCGGCCCTCGTAGCGCCGCCTGCGTCGCACAGGAGGGCCCCAGTGCACACGCACACGTGTGCGCCAGCACGTTTTGCGCACGCGGCGAGGCAGGGGAGACGTCTGCGCCAGCGGAAAGGCCTGACCAGGAGGAGGGCGCGGCCGAAAGAGGGGGTGGAAAAAGCGAGCCGCTCAGGTCAGGCGATCGCAAACATGGATCGAGGGGCGTGGGGCGTGGATTAGCGACGGGTCCCATGGGGAATCGCGGATCCCCGCCGCCGAGCGAGGCTGCACGGGCCGCATTTTGGGAAAGGCGCCTCCCCCGATCCATGGATCTGGCGACCGCGCGCCAAATCCACGGATCGTTCATCCATGTTTGCTCGTCCCCGATTCTTCAGTTCGTCAGTGGTGATTATTTCTGGTTGTCTATGGGAGATCGAGGACCTACGAGTGAAAAACCAGAGGCCTCGTTGATGGGCTTGTTTTCCACCACCACCACTATGTGTCAGAGGGGGAAGGACCTCCTCCTCCTCCTCCTCCAACTCCTCCTCCTCCTCCTCCTCCTCGTCCTCCTCCTCCTCCACCTCCTCCTCCTCTTCGTCCTCCTCCTCCACCTCCACCTCCTCCTCCTCCTCCACCTCCTCCACCTCCTCCTCTTCGTCGTCCTCCTCCCCTTCCTCCTCCTCCCCATTCTCCTCTTCGTCCTCCTTCTCTTCGTCCTCCTCCTCCTCCTCTGCGCGTGCCAGAACTTGATCAACTACAGTGTCGAGGCGCGCGAGAAGGAGCGAGAGACGTACGAGCGAGACGGGCGAGCAGTGGCTGCTAAGTTGGCGAAGCTGGAGCCCAATATCGTTTGCTACTCCTCGTCGAGCCTCGCCGCCACGGCTGGATCAGAGAAAACGGTTTGCGAGCAGTGCGTGAAAACTGTTTGCGAGAAGTGTGAGAGCGAGCAGAGCGAGAAGGAGGAGGCGAAGATAGAGCCCGACATCACCCGCTACGGTGCTTGGATCCGGGCATGCGAGAGGCGGAAAGCGAAGCTGGAGCCCGACATCATCGCTGGCCACAGTACTGAGAACAGCGCATGCGAGAAGAGGGAGGCGAATACAGAGCCCGACACCATCAGCTGCAGCGCTGGGATCAGGGCTTGCGAAAAGGGGGAGGCGAAACTGGAGCCCGACCTCAGCATTGAGGGGCTTCCAAACGAGTCTTCGAATTTCCTTCCGACCGACCTGGTTTCTGGAGAGCCGAAGAGCGACCCCTTCGAGTCCCAGGCCGACCTCGAGCTGGAGGCAATAGTGAGCGCACCTGAGAAGGCGGACAGGACGTCCTCTCAAGAGCCCTCCCATCCAGGTGCGCAGACAGCCGCGAACATCGTCGACACGCGCGCCTGCGAGAAGGGGAACGCGAAGCTGAGCAGCTACTGCGTCAGCAGGGCCATGTGGCACGCACGCTCCCAAATCGCCAGCACATGGCTTGAAGGCGGCGAAGCGATCGAGCCCAACGCCATCAGCTACAGTGTTGGAATCCAATGGGAAGCGGAGGACATACATGGAGTGTGGGGGCCCCTTCCGAGGGTTGACCAGAAAAAAGTGGAGAAGCGATATCAAAGATATCTCCACGGTGAGGAAAGCGGCAAGTTCACGATCACAGGGTCGAACGGGAGGCCCACGTGGCCCCTCAGAGCAGATTTCGACAACATGCTGCTCCTGAGGGCCACAAGGGCGAAGGCTTCGACCAAAGGCATCAGGATATGCAGAGTGTAATTGCGCTGCGTGAGAGAGGAGTTTACATGCTGTATGAGTGAATTGCAGCGTGGTTGTTCTGTGCTGCGCTAGGGGCCCCAAGCGTTTCTGGGCTCCCGAAGCGGCACCCGCCTAGGCGAAACTCGACTGCGTCGTCGCCGAATTCTCCCGAATTCTTCTCTGCGCGTGCCAGCGCGGCCGGGGCCCAGCTGTCGGGACCGCGGCGGCTGCCGCCGTCTCGGCGTGAGCCTGCGCGCCGGCAGCAGCTGGCCCCCCCCTCTGCCCTCCTCCTCCCCCTCCTCCTCCTCTTCCTCCTCCTCCTCCTCCTCCTCCTTCCCCTCCTCCTCCTCCTCCTCCTCCTCCTCCTCCTCCTCCTCCTCCTCCTCCTCCTCAAGCGGTGGCGCAGCGTCCTGGCTCGCCTACATCGCCTTGACGAAAGTGTATGTTGGTTTGCCTTTTGGCATGGCGCGCTTGTGCGGAGCAGTTCGGAGCAGGTTTACTAAACCTACTCCGCGCGCAATCGCATCCCGCTCGATGATTTACATGGTCTGGCACGGAGTAGCTTCCGATCCCGTTTGGGGGTAACTGATGCATTGACGTTTCCGGGATCGGAAACTACTCCGCCGAACGATCCCAGCATCATGTCATGTTCGGAATATTGAGAAGGATGGGAGAGATCTCCATCACAGCAAATAGAAGAAATGTTTGTCACGGCTGTGTATAGGCCCACCAACGAATGTTCTAAGAACTTTTGTGTGGTGTGCACGAGATGTTCTTAGAACATGTCAGGCTGGGTCTGTCTTGCTTGAACACATCGGGCTTACGTTCTAAGAACATCGTTGCTGTTCTCACGACATTTCTGGGTTCTAAGAGCATTTCGTGGTAGGCCGATGGGACTGCCGGGACGGTCGGTCCCTGCTCAACCGTAACGTTGAGTCGGGTATGTCACTTTGCACGAGGAGCGTTCCAAAACGGTATACGGAAATAGTCTGGGGACGATGCTTCTACCTTATTTTGCTACTCTTTCGAGCAGTTCCTGACTATTCCTCGCTTTTCTTACGACATCCGCCTCTGTAGGAGGACAAGCCTGGCCTGACCGTGCCGTTGCCGAGCGTGCGCGGGGGGAGGCGGGGCCGGTCTCCCACAAGGCATATGGCGCGGCGCGCACCGGCACGCTCTCTGGGGCCCACGGGCCCACGGGCACGCCGCGGCGCTCGCAGGCCCGACGACACCCCCCAGAGGAGCCCCAGGAGCGCTGCGAGAGGGCCCCCCGAGAGAGGGCCCAGTGGAGCACACGTCACTGATTGCCGCTGTGCTTTTGTCGATGCTGGTCGCGTTCTCGCGTGTTCGGGCTTCCAGCGGTCCCGAGTAGCAGAAGTGAACGTTGCGGGGGAAGGTCGGGCTAGTGGTAATGGGGGGTGGCCTAAGGGAGGGGGGGGAGAGAAGGGTCCCCTCCCTTTAGGGCTCTTCTTCCGCCCCCCCACCCCCCCCCAATTTAGGCCACCCCCCATTCCCACGCGCCCGAGGAGGGCTCAGAACATCTCCTGGGAAACCTGCTGCATGCTGGTTTCGGCCCCGCCGCCAGGCCCATCCCTCGATACGTGGAGCGCCTCCCGGCGCCAGGAGGCGCCAGGAAAGCCAGCTGCGCGAGCCGACTCTCTGACCCGCCCTTTGCTACGCTACCCCTTCGCCCCCCCGAATCTCCTTGGGGCGCACCGTGACACGGATGCTTGGCCCGCCTGGAACATGCCTAGCCCAGGGGTGGGCTTGTTGGCTGCCTTCGCCTCCTCGGGCCAGGGCGCTGCTGCAGCATGCATTTGGAGTTCCCTCTCCGGGAAGACGGCCGGCGGCGGAAGCTGGCGCAGCGGGTGGAGGGGCTGAGCCTCCTCCTCCTCCTCCTCCTCCTCCTCCTCCTCCTCCTCCTCCTCCTCCTCCTCCACATTCCTGCCTCCTCCTCCCTCCTCCTGCCTCCTCCTCCTCCTCCTCCTCCTCCCCCTCCTGGGGGCAGCCGGGGCAGGTGCGCCTCGACAGCGAGAAGCACATCGACTTCGCTCTCACCTCCCCGTTCGGCGGCGGCAGGCGGGCCGCATCTCGCGAGCGGCGGCCCCCGCGCCCTCCCCGGGGGAGGAGGAGGAGGAGGAGGAGGAGGAGGAGGAGGAGGAGGAGGAGGAACAGGAGGAGGAACAGGAGGAGGAACAGGAGGAGGAGGAGGAGGAGGAGGAACAGGAGGAAGAGGAGGAACAGGAGGAGGAGGAGGAGGAGGACGAGGCGGAGGAGGAGGAGGAGGAGGAGGACATCGGGCGTGTCCCTCTACAGGGGGAACATCGGGCCGGACAACATGGGGGGATGGGGAATGGGGGGGGGACGAAATGTGCTGCATGCAGCTGGTTTCGGCCCCACCGAGGGGCCCATGCCTCGATACATGGCCGCCTCCGGCGCCAGGAGGCGCCGGGAAAATCAGCTACGTGAGCTGATTCTCAACCCCCCCCTTTGCTATCCCTCTCTTTCGCCCAGCCCGAGAACATTCAAACATAGTTGTTCAAAAAAGTGAGGGGACGATCTTTTTGATTATTTTTTGACCATATGAGAGTATTCTTTTAGTTTTATACGTTTCATCCCAAGTCCGCCTGTAGGAGGACACGCCCGACCTAAGGCTGGGCATCGCTCGGACGCGTGCATTTGTCCATCGGCGAGGGCCATCGATCCAAAAAAGCCTTATGAACAGAAACTTCTGGCGCTCCGCGCAGATTTCTCGGATCCGCGCCAGACCCCCTCCCTGGCGCGCGGAGCGCGCCACGGGCGGTGCCAGAGGCGCCGCTGGAGGGGCCAGCGCGGATCCAAGAGATCCGCGCGGAACGCCAAACGTTGATGTTTTTATGGCGCTTTTCCTGCTTCGCATCGAGGGGCATCGTGGGTCATCTGGTTCTTCGAATCGAGGAGCATCTTCTTCTTCGAGTCAACTAGAAATACGCGTTTTCTGTTGCTTTGTTTTTTGTTATGGCGCGTTTCTTCTTATGTTTCTCATTATTCTAATTATTTTCTTGATAGTATTATTATTGTTATTTTTTATTATTGTTATTATTATTATTATTATTATTATGATTCGTTTTCTTCTTCTCCTTCTGATTATTATGTTGTTTATGGCGCTTTTTCTTCTTCGAATCGACTAGAGATACGCGCACGACATCGGGCAACGCAGGGGGGGGGAGGAGCGCCCGAGCGGTGGCGAGAGGGGGGGCCTCCGGAGGCTGGCCTCGCGGAGTTCCCCGGGGCGGCAGCCCTGAGAGACTCGGGGGGCGCAGCGAGAGAGCCGCAGAGTCGGGGGCGGCAAAGAGGGGGGTGATGACTACTCCAGATTTCGTAATAAAAGGGAGGGGGTCTCAACCCTCCCAGACGAGAAGTTTTAGACCCCCCCCCCGTGGGAGAACCCTCCAAAACACCGTCTCCAGACCCCCCCAGTCCCCGTGGGTGATGACTTGAAGCTCGCTGAGGGGCAGCGAATGCGATCTGTGTTTCTGGGGCGACGGGGGAGAGGGCAATGCTTTTGCAGGGCAAGAGCAGGCATGAGCAGCCCAATCGTCGGCAAGAGTAAACCTGAAATCAGAGCTTCTCGCGAAGGGCGGCTGTAAGGATTGCTGTTGACCGATCAAACGCGCCCGCCGAGCGTACGGGGATCTGGCCCTGGAAACAACGCTGCCCCCCCAGCGACCTTCAAGTGATGACTAGGGTCAGGAGGGAAAAACACACACAGACACAATTAATCGTCCACTCCCGGGAAAATATGTGGGAAAATATGGGAAGTGGGGGGAAAGGCAAAAACCCAGAACATATGAGGAAAGATGGGGAATCGTTTTATTTGTGTGTATTTATTTGTGTGTCCCAGGGCCCCTTCATAGGGGGGGGTGGATGTCATGGCGGGGGCCAGGATAGTTCCTCAGATTTCATGGCGCCTCTTCTTATTTCATTACGTCCCTGGTCCCCCCTGCTGGGCCGCACACATGCCGCGGGGCATGATTTGCACCCCCCCCTCCTGGACACCCCCCTCTTGGCCGCTCCCGACAGAGGTTCTTTGCATCCTCGCAAGCAAGCAAGGAGGCCATGCATCCTGAAGGACGCGTGGGCTGGCAAGGACGCTCATGGCTCCTTCCTCCTCAAAGAGCCGCAGAGGCTCTTTGAATCCTCGGGGGCCCCCAAGCGGTGTGGTGACCACACCGTGCGGTGAGTCGGTGGGGATTCGGGGTCACTGCACGGTTTTGGGACTCGAGTCCCTCTCCGAGGCTGTCTCGGGCGACAGGGGCCTCCGGGGTCCCAAGACCGGGCGGTGACGGACCGTGTGCGGTGAGGTCTCTTGTGGTTCCGAGATCAACGCACGGTCCGTCACAACACGGTTTTGGGATCCCGAGTAATCGGGGGCGGCAAAGAGGGGGGTGATGACTAGGGGGATCAATTATCATGATGAGCCCCAGAAATGGCAGGGCCGATTTTTCACCGTTTCCGAAGGAGCGGCTCTTGAAAATGGGAACGGCAAACAAAAACGGTGATTGAAACGGCGTCGGAACCAGCAAAAGAAGGGCAAAACGGAACCGGTGAACAAAACGGCCTTGTCGTTTCCAGGGCCCACGGGGCCATGATGTCTCCCCAGATGTCATGGCGCCTCTTCTGATTTTGATTTGCGCCCCCCCCCCCCTCCTGGACGCCCCCCTCTTGGGCGCGACGCCCCAGATGATGGGGGTCCCCCGCCCTGATTTCGCTCCCGTCTGAGAATAGTCACACCCCACCCTCCTCGCCCCTCCTCTCCCCGCCCCTTCCTCGCTGTCCCGTGGAGCCCCATCCAGGCCCAGGGGGGCAGACGCATACCCCCAAGCGCCCACTGGTCGCCGCTGGGGACCAGAAGAGCAGCGCGCACGTGAACCTTCGGCTGTGCGCGCGGAGTCCTTGGGCTTGCGTTGGGGCCCCCCATGGCGGCGACTCCGGCGCCGCCCACGGCGCGCCCGGGGGGGGGGGGGGGGGCGCGTCCGCGCAGGGGGGCGCGTCCGCGCAGATGCAGAAAATGCACGCGGGCCACCGACAGCCGATTGCTATGATGCCATTCTCAGCTCATCCAGGAAAGCATGAGATCCTGGCGTCCCTGCTTTTTGCACGCCAGGCACTCTTGCTGTCTCTCGGGCCCATGAGCCATCGCGGATCGATCCAACTCGGAAAACATTCCAGGAAGATGGGGTCCGGGAATCGAGTCGCGATTCTGCGCGATGCTGATGTGCTCTTGCACCGTCGGATCTCAGGGAAGATCAGAGGCGACGATAGGGGCGAATAGCCCAGGGGGGGAGCAGTACATGTATCCAGGGGTGCTGATGACCCATGTCTTCGGCGAGGCTCCGGGGCGAATACGTGTAATGGCCGCCCCTGGGTTATGCGCCCTTATCGTGAAGTGGGGCCTGTCCCTCTACAGGGGGGATATTGGTTGTTTACCATTGTTGATTATGTTAGGGCGTTTTTTACTATTTTTTAGTTTTCGTCCAAAATCCCCCTGTAGGGGCACAGGCCCGACTTAACCTTATCGTCGCCGCTGGGGAGAAGCCTTCGCGCGTCCCCACCGCGGCCAGCTGCCTCCGCGGAGGTCTGGCCGGAGCGCACCCCAGGGGGGTGGGGAGGCCCGCGGGGGAGCGGCTTCGGACGAGGAGGAGGAGGGGGAGGAGGAGGAGGGGAGAGGGAGGAGGAGGAGGGAGAGGAGGAGGAGGAGGAGGAGGAAGAGGAGGAGGAGAGGAGGAGGGATGCTTCTCTGCTCCCCCACCGTCGAACCCGAGCCCCCGCTCTGCCTGCGCTCTGCGCGGGTTTCTTGGATCTGCGCTGGGACCTCCCTGGCGGCGCCGCCCCTGGCGCGCTCCGCGCGCCAGGGAGGGAGGTCCCGCGCGCATCCAAGAAGACCGCGCGGAGCGCCAAAAGGTTATGTTGATGCCGTCTTGTGTTCCTCCAAGGACGAGAGGTCGGCCCCAAGAGGCTGTCGGGTCGAACGGAAAAGGCGGGGGCATGGGGAAAGGGTCGGGCGTTGCTAGAAGTGCCCCTGGCCCAGGGTGCCCCCAGATTTTCGGGGAGGCCCCTGCGGCCTCCAGAACACCGTTCACGAGGCCCTGAGGGCCCAGGGGCTCCATAATGGAACAAAAAGCTGGGGGCATTTCGGGCAAGGGGCACCTTTAAACTCAAAGGGTCTTTAAGGTTTGACGGCCCTCCCCCAAGCTCTCGACTTAGCACGCCCCGAAAAGGGGGGGGGAGGGGGGACGAAATCAGCTGCATGCAATTAACCTCGGCGACCTCGTCGGAGCCATTTGAGCCACACTGGCCGGAGCCGGGTTCGCCGCTGCGCTCCTCCTCCCTCCTCCTCCTCCTCCTCCTCCTCCTCCTCCTCCTCCTCCTCCTCCTCCTCCTCCTCCTCCTCCTCCTCCTCCTCCTCCTCCTCCTCCTCCTCCGTCACGGTGTCAGTTCCCGCAAGGCGGGGGGCTGCCCGAGTGTGAGAGTGGATGGCACGCACCCCGATCGGGGAGTCTCTCGAACCCGCTGCCTGCAACTGCCCGCCCTTGTGATCGGCGCGCGAGGGCGCTCGCGCCAGGCCTGCGTGACGGACCCAACAGGACCATGAGGTGGTCCTGACGATCGCGTTCGTCTTTCTTGTTTGGCCGATTGGCGCGGACCCTCGCGCCCCCCCCATGGAATAGATTTTGGCTGTTTTGGGCGCCTGTTTCAAGCAGGCGGAGTCTTCCCCGTAGGAAACACTGCTGCAACCAGTCGCAGTAAGCAGAGGTCCAGAGCCAGACCCCCCCCCTCCACTCCCCTTCCGCCGAGCGCCGAAACGCCGAATCAGAAAACGCTCACCTGCGACAGCTCGCCATCCATGCACCGCACCAGACCAGTTCCCAGTGGCATCTGGGCCTCCTCCTCCTCCTCCTCCTCATCCTCCTCCTCCTCCTCCTCCTCCTCCTCCTCCTCCTCCTCCTCCTCCTCCTCCCCTCGTCCCGCAAAAAAGGCTCCTCCCTGCTCGGGGACGGGGGCCCTGCGGGAGCCACGCGCGCCCAGGCCCGGACGCGTGCGCCGCAAGATGATGCAGAAGAAGGGCGGCGACAAGGACGGCGACGACGAGGAGGACTGAGGCACCAGGCCAGAGATTCGGAGGAGGAACAGGTACCCCTATTGCTACCCTTCCCTCGTTTGCCTCCTGGGAGGCCCTCGTCGCCACAGCTGGGTTCTATTCGAAATCTTCGTCAGAACGAACCCTAGGGAGAGGTCCTTGGAGCAGCGGTACCGGTACCTTCTGGCTTCCAGGGCGGGGGCGGCGACCGGGAGGGTGGGTACGGAGCCAGGCAAGCCCAGGATCGGGGCGAATCGCTCCAGGGCGTGCCAGGATTCTGGCAGAGCGTGCCGAAGCGCTGTGCACTGGCCGCGGCGCCCGGTGCATTCCCGAGGCCCTCGGGCTCCCAGAGATCCCCCCGCTCGTCCCGATCGGGGTCGGCCCCGATCCTGGCCTCGTCTTGCAGAGCGAGGGCGTGTACCAGGGCGTCGCGTGGCTCCCATGGTGAGCCCCCTGGGCGGAGGAGGAGGAGGAGGAGGAGGAGGAGGAGGAGGAGGAGGAGGAGGAGGAGGAGGAGGAGGAGGAGGAGGGGGGAGGGGGAGGAGGAGGAGCAGGGAGCAGGAGCAGGGAGCAGGGAGCAGGGAGGAGGAGGAGGAGGAGGAGGAGGAGGAGGAGGAGGAGGGGGGAGGGAGGAGGAGGATGAGGAGGAGGTGGAGGAGGAGGAGGAGGAGGAGGAGGAGGCGGAGGAGGAGAGGAGGAGGAGAGAGGAGGAGGAGAGGAAGGAGGAGGAGGAGGAGGAGGAGAGGGAGAAGGAGGAGTGAGGATGGAGGAGGAGGAGGAGGGAGGAGGATGGAGGATGGAGGATGGAGGAGGAGGATGGAGGAGGAGGAGGAGGGAGGAGGAGGAGGAGAGGAGGAGGAGGAGGAGGAGGAGGAGGAGGAGGAGGAGGGAGGAGGAGGAGGAGGAGGAGGGGAGGAGGAGGAGGAGGAGGAGGAGGAGGAGGGAGGAGGAGGAGGAGGAGGAGGAGGAGGAGGAGGAGGAGAGGAGGAGGAGGAGGAGGAGGAGGAGGAGGGAGGAGGAGGAGGAGGATGGTGGAGGAGGAGGATGGTGGAGGAGGAGGAGCAGTGGCGCCCGTTCGCCCTCTCGCCCTCGCAGGCCCCCCTCGCGCGAGGCGCCCCCCCGAGCCCAGCGGCCGGCCAGGGGGGGGGGTGCTGCCGCGGGCTGCCGGGAGCGCCCGGGGCCACCGGGCGGTGGGCCGTGCGGCAGAAAAGGGCAGCGCTCTGCTCGAACGAAATGGTGCAATGCCCAGCAGCAGTTCCTGTTCAAGGGCTCCCTCGAGGGCGCGAAGTTACTCGCGCTTCGCGCTTCGCGGTCCTCGTTCCTTCTCCCCCTCCTCCTCGTCCTCCTATTCTCCCTTTGGGAGGGCGGCGCGAGAGCGCGAAGTTATTCGCGCTTCGCGCAGCGCGAAGCGCGAAGTTGGGAGCCCTAGGTTCCTTTTGAGCAGGGCTCGCTGTCCGCGCCGCCGCGGCCTGTCTCCACTCGAGACAGAAGGCCGCCTGCCCAACAGCGGCCGCTGTTGGATTGTGACAGCATGTGTTGTTGGGCATTGTACCCATCTTGTCCGTACCCATGTTTGGCGTCCAAATCCAAGAGATCTGCGAGGAGCGCCAAAAGTTTATTCAAGCAGTGGCGAATCGTCCTGGCTCGCCTATAGCCCCATCAAACAATGTTCAAAGAACCTCTGGTGGTTCCCACGAGATGTTCTTGGAACATGTCTGGTTGGGACTGCCTTGTTTTATCACATCGGGTTCACGCTCTAAGAACATTGCTTTTGTTACTAGAACACTGCTGGGTTCTAAGAACAGTTCGTAGTAGGACTACAGGAATGCCGGGACGGCCGGTCCCTGCGCAGTTGTTCTTTCTGCTATAGATGGGGTCAGACAGAGCGGGGTAGGATGTAGCACTCCCGTGCCAGCAGGACTACAGGGCCTCAGATTCGTAGCATGTGTGTGTGTGTGTGTGTGTTTCAATGCGCGCCCTGTGCATAGCAGCGGGGTCGGATGTAGCACTCCCGTGTCAGCAGGACTAGAGGGCTCCAGATTCGTAGCATGTGCTGTTGTTCATTGTGTTCCTTGTGCATAGCTCAAGCAAACAAACTAATGATACCAGAGACAAAAAACCCAATCAGATGGGGCTAGAGGGCTCCAAGGCGGTAGGGCTATAGAGCTGTAGGGTTATAGGGTTATAAGGCTAAAAGGCTGCAGGGCCATTAGGGCTGTAGGCCTAGTGGGCTATAGGGCTTCAGGGCTATAGGGCTATAGGGCCATGAAACTATAGGGCTCTAGGGCGATAGATCTATAAGGTTATACGGCTATAAGGCTATAGGGCTAGAGGGCCGGGCACCCGGGCACCCAGGCATCTGGGCACCCGGGCACCCCCAGGCACCCCCGAGCACCCCGGGGCACCCATGCACCCCTGGGCACCCGGGCCCCCGGGCACCCCTGGGCACCCCCGGCCAACCGGGCACCCGGGCTTCCGGGCACCAGGGCCTTTGGGCCCGGCCACCGAAATCGGCGACGTAGGTCACCTACACATATGAATCCGCTAGGACCCCTACAGAGGCAAGCTCTGCTTGGGGAATACTCCTTACCTCGTCGTCGCCCTGTTTCCTGTCCATTCTTGTCCTCGTCATCCACCTCCCCCGTTTTCAGTACCTTCCTTTCCGTTCTCTCATCACCTTCGTCCTCCATCCTTCTCCGTATCTATTGGGCTCGAGTCGTTCAATGAAGACAGGTCACCCAACCGAAGACAGTTCTCACAACCGTATGACTGATCCTTACGGGCCCCCAGCTGACGTCACAACACGATGTCCGATTGCTGGGAAGACGGGCGGTGAGAAGCGGAAGGCAATGAACACTCTCCCAGCAGTATTCATAGGATTCCTTTCTTCGAGGCCTCTCAAAACACATGCTGCAATCCTTGTCACAAGCTTGTTCTATATCACAACGCCCAGACAGTATATCGCCATGGTGGGCGGAGTTGCAGGTCTTGCTCGGCCAGTGGAACTGGTCGCATTCAGGACGTTCGGCCTCGTCGTTGTGCTGTCACCAACAACGGAGCAAGAGATCAGGAGCTCCCAAAGCACGACCCTCCAGCATCCTTGAACGCTCACGTCGTAGAATTTGCAGTTTCTCGTCGGAGGGGTTTAAATTTCCCTGATGTTTACGAGAAAATACATGAAGGTAGCGCCCGTGCTCATTTGGAATTACCAGAGAAGTATGTGAGGGCTTCCAGCGCCGAAGTCGAACACATTGGTGTTATCTCGGACGTAATCGCAGCCATCGCTGGAGATGCTGATCAAGCTCGCGAGATGGTGGTGCGCTGTGATGAAAGCAACTTGGCTGTTGGTGCAGACGCATCGTTCCACCTTGGCTCTGCCGTGAGTGCTGCCAGCGCTGCTGAAGCCAATGAGTTTGCCTTGCGAGTGGATCGAGGACTTGGCGCTGCGACTCACACATACCAACCAGAAACAATATTGCATATGTTGGTGATTTCGTCCACATTTCGGCTTGGCCGCAAAATGAGCGAAGTTCTTGCGACGTGCGCTCCGTTGTTTTTTCGGCCAGACACCCTCTATTGTGCCCGTCGGCGTTTTGCGAGACAGAACAATACAGCTCCCGCAGGCTCCATTGCTGAAGGACGCACGGGCTCGACTCGATTTATTGGATCTGGGTTGGCAAAGATCCTTGTTCAGGAAATGACCCTGGCGACGTACCCAACCCCTGCGCAATGCGGGGCAGGAGTAGCTTGGGAGATTCGACGAGAAGGCGACGACGTGACATGTACGCATGTACTTCCTGGAGCGGCATTCGGAAGGTTCGCAGGTCCCCAATCAAGGGAGGAACGATGAGTAACTGAGTGGCACCCTGAGTCATTAAGGAAGACGCAACGACCAAAAGGCGACCGTGGGCAAGGGGCTTGAAACGCCGGCGGGCAGCAACAACATGACATGGCCCCCCAGGGGCGGCGAGGTCCCGCTCAGGTCCGCGCAGTGCTTCACTCCGCTGGACCGACAAGCAGCCTTCAAAAGTGGCGAGCCCACCAGCAGCCCTCGAAAGCGGCGACTGCTTCGCAGATCGCAGCACCCAGGGACGGTGAGGTCCACCTCGGGTCTGCGCGGTGCCTCACTCCGCTGGACCCACCAGCAGCCCTCGAAAGTGGCGACAGCTTCCCAGATCGCAGCCTCCAGGGACGGCGAGGTCCACCTCAGGTCTGCGTGGTGCCTCGCACCGCTGGACCCACCAGCAGCCCTCGAAAGTGGCGACAGTTTCGCAGATCGCACACCCCCCCCCCCCAGGGACGGCGAGGTCCACCTCGGGTCTGCGCGGTGCCTCACTCCGCTGGGCCCGCCAGCAGCCCTCGAGAGTGGCGACCGTTTCGCGGATCGCAGCCCACCCAGGGGCAGCGAGGCTCACCTCGGGTCCGCGCGGTGCCCCACTCCGCTGGACCCGCCAGCAGCCGTCAAAAGTGGCGACCGCTTCGCAGACCGCAGCCCTTCAGGGACCGCGAGGTCCACCTCAGGTCTGCGCGGTGCCTCACTCCACTGGACCCACCCGCAGCCCTCGAAAGGGTGTTTTGCGGGCCCGATCCGGTCGCAGACTCGAAGCCCCCCCCCAAGGGACGGCGAGGTCGAATTAGGTCTGCGCATGACTTCACTCCAGGTTCCGCTTTATTGTAATTGTTCGTGACGACCCACCAGCAGCCCTCGAAAGCGACGACAGTTTCGCAGATCGCAGCCCCCCAGGGACGACGAGGTCCACCTCGCTCCGCTGGACCCGCCAGCAGCCGTCGACAGCGGCGACAGTTTCGCAGATTGCAGCCCCCCCCCCACCCACCCCCCACCCCCCCAGCGACGGCGAAGAGAGAGCAGGAGGCGGGAGGCGCGAGAGGGGAAGGAAGGACGCGCGAGCAGCGCTCTAGTCAAAACGAATTCCCAACCAAGGAGGGTCGGGGTAATAAAAAACTTAAGCTGCCATGCAACAGATGCGTCTTCTGAGCTTGGTTAAAACTGGCTCATACGCCGGAAGGACACGCTCGACTTTAAGATTGGCGAGAGTAGCATGCAGAACACAGAACTAATACTTTTGAATATTTGTTAGGCCAACGAGGCCCCCCCTCTGTCAACGCCTGGTCGCGGTCGAGCTGGTCTTGCCAAAAAGTGCTTCAACGATTCGAATATATTGCGCGTGGAAAGCGCCAGTGAGGAAGCGCTGACAAAGCGACGCCTGGAGGTGCGCGGCATCGTCTCGGGCCAAGCGACGGAGGATGGAATCGCTGACGTTTGCCGCGCGCAGGAGTTTCAAACATGCGGAGTTTGCCCAGCTTGAAGAGAGTAGGAGAGCCTTCCCCAACGCAATATGAACGCCGATGAACGCACTGGATCACGCCATCACGTCAGCACCGTTATGGAAAGAGTTCCTTCCGAAATCGAGGTCGGTTGAAAGGTTTCTCCAGGGCGCATCATTGCGGGTGCTATTTTGAGCAGCGCGTCTCCGTGGAAAGCCGAGTATTTCGAAATTGTTTGCAGGTTAGAATGGCAGCCACGTCGAGTGGCGCTGGGAGTTTTCAATGACAACATAGACAAGCCCGCGCCGTTGGTCCCACGCCGAATTGAGAATTTCCTAGTAGAGAATCTGCTGCATTCAGTGGAAGACAACGCCAACCCAGCGATGGCGGAGGACGCGCGGCAAGCTTTAAGCACGCCCACGTTCGTTGAGTTGAGTGAGCTCGTGCGCACCGCGGGCAAGTGCATGTATAAGTTCGTTCGCATGCTCCAGGGCAGCGCGTGCCATTCCGACATGGACTGGGCCGGGTTACAAGACTTGTTTCTGGAAAGGCAGAATGGGTTTGTTGTTCCAGGTCGTCGGCATTCAGCACTTGACAGACATGATCAACAGCAGCATGTCTGATAAATTGCAGTGCTTCTCGTCCGGGGTGACTGCGAAAGCGCTGCATATTTCTCGGCCTTGATAGCTCAATCAAAATCCGCCAGAGAGGAGCTCACGCAGAAGCTCGCGTTCCATTCCAAGCGACCCTACAATGTCATGGGCATCATCTGCGCGAGTTCCCAGGAGGCGACACAGCGCCTGCAAAGACCATATGTAGGACGAGCGTGGGTGCTTACGACTTGTCGATTCTCAAGGGTCTCGGCGATGGAGCTCATCGCGTTGCGCATCGATTCAATTCTCGGACTGGACAGCGTCGCGGGATTTCTGATGCGCGGACATCTCAGGAAGGAGGTCGATTGACGGACTTCCCAGTGGCCTCCGCGACTGCGCTCCACTGCGCCCTCACTCCGTTGATCGCTCGGAGCGTCGGATGCGCAGGCGGACAACAAATATCAATGCGCCTGCCCTGGCTGCTGGCCCTCGGGAAAATGCTCGCTCGGAGCACTTGAACACATCGCCTGGCCTCCTCCTTCTCTTCCTTCTCCTCCTCCTCGTCCTCCTCCTCCTCCTCCCTCTCCTACCTACGGCAGTGGTGATGGAAAATTGGCCCACCATGAGCGCCCGCACCCATGGTCATAGCTATTGCACTTCTTCCCTGACGGACTCACGCCCAGGATGTCCTGCCTCTGTGTGTCCATGGGGCACAAAGGAAAAACCGTGAGTTCAAGCATGGGCTTGAAATTGCAAAAAAGACGAGTTCTTCTTTGGGGCCATGCCCCAGGCGTGCCTTGCTCAGCCATGAGAAAACATGTGTCCCTGGCCTTTTCAGGATGCGGGCGCGAGCATGGACCTCCTCCCTCCAGAGCGAAGACAGGGCGCTGTGGTGCTTGCAGTCTTCAGTTACGGGGTCTAAGCGTATACACCACCACCGCCTCCCTCACTCCCTGCCTCTCCATCGCCAAGCAAAGAGGGGAGGAAGAAGAGGCCGGAGGAGGGGAGGGGGGATGAAGGCGGTGGTGTATGGTCTTGGTGCCCATAGTATTGGTCCCTGCGCGGAGGTATACTCAACGGCATCTCCGACGAGTGGAGCCCCATGACGGATCCTTACGTGAGCCTCTCTGCTCTGCTGTTTGTTGCCCGCGTGCTGCCTAAGCACTCGGGCCGGTCCCCCCCCCCGCCCACCACCCCCCTCTGCAGGGCTCATGTCGACTCCTCCGATGCGACGTCGAGCGATTCCGATTCCGATTCCGATTCGATATCGAATGCCGATTGTGATGTCGGCTTCTCCATGGAAGCTTTATTGGTTTGCCGATGTCCGCCGATTACATGTCCCCTCACCATTTGGCTGCCGATGTGCGCCGATCCAATTCATGTCGATCGCCGATCCGACTGATCGCTTCGATTCAGGGCTCTCCTGCCCCTGCCCCACAGCATCGAGGGTCGCACGTTCGAGAACCCTTGGCACCTGAAAGATGACTTCGGCTGAGCGTACGGTAGGTTCGTGCGGCGTTGGCGCGCCAGCGACGCTAGCGAAGGCGTTCAGGGTTGAATCATGCGACGCGGAAACACCGATGGACATGTTAACGCCATTGGACCCGATTGAATTCAACCTTGAACGATCGGGATCGTGATCGATTCAAGGTTGAACGATCGGCGCGGTGTCAAAAACCTTTGCGCGCGCCGACGCCGCACGAACCTGACGCAGGGGTGACCCTTCGCTGGACTGACCTTTAGTGCCTTAGCATTGGTCTGCGCGCTGGGCTTGGAATTGCCCCCCCGGCGGGTCACTCTTGCGTGTGGCCGTGGATCGCACTTCGCGCGAACGTCGGGCACCTCCGAGGCACATTAGAGCCAGCTGCGCCATCGCGCGCCGTTGAGCCGCTGTTGAGCCGCTGTGTCGGTGTCTGCTGTGTTTTTCCCAGGGTGTCAACAGGTGTTGAGTTGAAGAAACGTTGTCAGATGGCGGAACCAGATTTTATCATGGGTCTTGGAAGCTCGTGCGTTCAGTGAAAGGCTGAGGAAGCACTGGCAAATGGTGGATGAGAGTCCTGTCCTGGCACCGGGGGTCGCGCGGCCACTACTGACGCTTCATGCGTGTGCATGGCGCACTAAAACAGCATGATCTGAAGGCATTGCAGAGATCCCCCGCCAGCGGATTCACCATTTGTTCGTGTTTCCTTGTTACGTTGGCCAGCATGTGTTGTGCGCACATCTGTTTAATGTGCTTATGTGCCACGTCATATGGATTATGCATCGTATTCACGTGTATACATAATATGTAGATCACGTTGTACCCCTATCTCGTCTCGTCCCATTGGCGTCTTGGGGGCATGGCCTGCCAGATTCCAGTCAACTTCTCTCCGAAGAGCTTCGAGGAGGGGAAGCCAAAGTGCAAGGACAGCGGCGCGCGCCTTTGAAATCTGCTATGCGTTGCAACCGTAGCGCAGGCCTAAGGTTCAGTACACCCATGCCCGCGGTGTTGATGTTGTTGCACAGTCTCGCTCTCCGTGAATGTGGGCTTCATCGCGTGCGGCATGTTGAGATGTCCGCCTTGAATTTGGGCAAGCAGAACTCGTGAGAGTATGTTGATGTTATTGTGGTATGTGGTAGCGTGCGGGCTCCTCCTGGAAGCGTCCTGCGGAGTTTCTTGGGACGCCCTGGGTTTAGTTTGGAGCCACACGCATCAGTGGTCATGTATGTGCTACCCCCGGATGGAGCCCTGCTATTCGGCGGGAGCGTTGGCATCGTCAGGATCGTGAAACTAATGTCTGATGCCAGCGTTGCGAGCTGTGCGCGGAGTTATCGGCAAAATGAGTGATTGCAATCCAAGCGAAATTGGCCTAGATAGGAAAAGCTGGCCGTTCGGAGCTCTACTAAGCTGAATTGGTTTGGGATGCGCTGCACTACGCTAAGTTGGAATTCAAAGTGGTCAGGCGAATTTGAACCTGGCAAACTAGAATCGACTAAAAGTTCATTGTCGCGAACAGATCGGCGACTAAAATGGGTGGTTACGCCAGGGCTGTGGTTTGCGATCGGCGCCGCTGAGGCTTAGGGGTCACCACGTTGCGCCAAAGGTTTGATGTGCCCTCGTCGGGGTGCGGCAGAGATCTCTGTCGAGGTCCTCCCCCGCCCACCCCCCCGCCCGGGTGTAGGTTGCAAACCACACCACACTACTCAGGGTATTCAGGGTCGCCGAGAAGTGCCAAGGCTAGCTAGACCCAGTGTTGCCCCGTCAAGCTCAGTTCAAAGAAGGCAGCGCAAAAAGTACGAACGGCTTGCGAGTCATCTTACCGGCTGCGTTTAGATTGTCAGCGGGCAGTTGCGGTAGGCTACGAGTTCGAAGTGAATGCATGGGGGTTACACATCACGCGCGTTGATGAACACAAGCTTGGAATCTCGGGTGGAAGCAAGCAAGTTCGAGTTTCAAGAGCAAGTACGTCCATATTCAAAGGGTTGAGTTGCCAATCGATTCCAGCGGGAGGTCGGGTTCCTGGGGCCTCAGAGTAATTAGTGGAGTGGGAGGGAGAGCGGGAGGGAGAGAGGGGGAGCGGAGAGTGGATTGCGGAAAGTGGAGAGAGTAGAGAGAATGGGCATGAGATTAAAGAGAATTGGAAGAGTGGAAGTATCACAGAGAGAGCACGGAGAGTATAGAGTAGATCGTTGCGAATCTGGTGTGGAGAGACGGGAAGGGCACAGAGTAGAGAGTTGGGAGTAGAGAATCATTGCGTTCTCATGTTGCGGATAGAGTCAGAGGCGCCCGAGTTGTTTTGCCGAGGTTGTCAGGTTCGATCGCCAATGTCAAGAAACACGATACAGTCGCATATGGTTCTGACGCGTTCAGCCTGGCACAGGCGCTTATTTTCCTTAGCACCGTCAGCCAGCAGCAGACAGCGAAGTTGTTGCTGTGTCAAATAGTGCGGTCCGCTCGCGGGCGCAGGTGGGTCGCGACTGAATCACGGTTGGGTCGCACTTCGGTCGCGTATGGATCGCAAGTGAGTCGCGGGCGGTCCTCGGGTGGGTCGCGGCGCGGGTGGGTCGCGGTTGGACCGTGGGGCGGGTTGCGTTTGGTTCGCGGGACGGGCGACGACGACAACCGCAATAGTAACAAGCAACAATAGTAATAACGATTATCGCACCGCCGAGTTCCATTTCAGCTTTACCCAGGGAGAGTGTTTGACCGTTCGGCCTCACGCTGATCGAGTGGCCTTCTGCTCAACCCGCCACCGTGCTTGGGTCGTTAACCAACGAAGGGCCTATTGGATGCCTCTTGAGGACTCGTGGGGGGCTCTTTGATTTATGGGTCGGGCCTGTTTGGGCATCTTGGGTGCGTTGGCACCCCCTGGGGCGCTATTGGGACCTGCGGGGGTCTCGTGGGGAGCGGCGTCGTGGGCCGTCTGGGGGCATGCTGGCTGTTTCGGGGGGGAGGGGGACCTTCGGGGTGGAGGGCTTCAAATGGCAGCTCGAGTTCCCCCTGTTGGTGCCTCGTGGGGCCCCTGTGGGCATGGCAGGCCGCTCCTGGGGGCGTCGGGGGATGGCTTGGGCGGGTATTGGCGGCTTCCCGGCCGTCTTGGACGCTTCGGCTGCCGAAGAGGCGAGGGAGCGACACAATGGCGGGTACGTCAATGATGTGGGCCTTCTGGGTTGACACGCATGCTTTCCCAAACGCCCCACAAGGCCCCCAGAGCGAGCGGAACGGCGGCCCCGTGGGACTATGCGATGCCACGCGGGAAGGGCCGATCCCCAACCCCGTTCTCGGGGCCCTGGGAGCAGGTCGCGCGAGCAGGTCCAGCAGCGCCCAGCAGTGCCGCAAGGTGGGGGCCTCGAGGCCCGGATGCCTTCCAGACACGTGGCGCGTTCAGTACAGTGAGCAGGGCTCGGGGGCACGCAAACCAGTGCCTCGCGGCACAGTGGCGGGTACATTACAGAAGAGGAGGAGGAGGAGGAGGAGGAGGAGGAGGAGAAGAAGGAGGAGGATGAGGAGAGGGAGGAGGAGGAGGAGGAGGACGAGAAGGAGGAGGACGAGCAGGAGGAGGAGAAGGAGGTGTAGAGGGTAGGCAACAGACAGTAGGCAGTAGAGGGCAGAGACCCCCCCCAAAACAGCATTCGTCGTCCGCTGCTCTCGCCCAGCGCCAGGGCTCTTCCGCTGAAGAACTGCACCGTGCAAAGCGACCCTAAACAGCAACGCCGAAGGAGAGCAAGCAGGCGGAGTCGACATCCCCGGGCGGCGTGCTCGGGGCGGGCTGCCAGAGCCGAAGCGAGCCGAGCACCAAACCGCGCGGCGCACGGGCACGGCACGGTCACGGCACAGCTGTCACACCTCTTTAGCCTCTGGGGCACGTCGCGCCACGGCATGTTCTGGGCACTCTCGAATCGCCAAAGCCTTCGGCACGGCACGGCGCGCAGGCACTGCGTGCGAGCACCTCACAGCCCAGCTGCCGCAGTCCAGAGCTCGGGCGCCGCACGGCACGCGGGGGCACAGCGAGCGACACGGCGCACGTCCTGCATGCCGGGCACACCACTGCACGACACGTTGTTCGCATTCTAGCAGTACGGCATGCGGGCACGCCACGGCACAGCACACGTCTGCACTCCAAGGTGTCAGGCGGCGTGGGCTCCAAACCGGGTTTCCCCAAGCAATCGGCGGTGCGTCACGTGTGGGGAGCAATCTATGTGTTGCACCGTTTGTGGGGCAATCTATGTTGCACAATCTACATGGCACATTGTATATGGTGCAATCCATTGTATACAATATATGTGGAGCCATCTATGTTGTGCTACATGTGTTGTTCAATAAATGTGATGCCATATGCGTGGTGCAACTTGTGTGGTGCACTTTCGGTGGTACAATCAATGTTATGCAAAGTGTGTGGTGCAACATCTGTGATGCAGTCTATCTTATACAATCTATGTTGGTGGGGGCGGCGACGGGGCGGCGACGGCGAGTACATAGCCGCCAGACCGACGACACGGCCCAGACGACGGGCGGCGACGGTGCGGCGATGGCGAGTACATAGCGGCCAGACCGACGACACGGTCCAGACGACGGGCGGCGACGGGGCGGCGACGGAGAGTACATAGCCGCCAGACCGACGACATGGCCCAGTTCCGCAAAGCACAAGTAAGAACCCCTGAGTGCAAGCAGTGCTTCGGGAATTTGGCCACGGGGCACGGGCATGGCACGGCATTGCACATTTGTTTGCATCCTATTGCACGCGGGCACTACACAGCACAACGCGGCGGCACATGCTTCGTATTCTTGGTTCTGGAACCGCGTTCTCGAAGCACGTCAGACCTCGGACAGCACCTGCTGTTTAGAGGCAGATGGCACAGGCGAGCGACTGGGTGGGTTTCACCTGGTGCAGTGTTCTGCGAGCGACTCTGGCAATCCCCCACGCCCGTCGACATGGAGCACAGTACGACGAGCTCACGACCACGCAGCACGGGATCAGGAGGAGGGAGAGGAGAGGGACGGGGAGCACAAGGTTGGGAGAGACGAAGCAGGGGAAGGGGTCCAGACGATGCGCGTTGAGCAACCGAGGGCGGACCCCCGCGCGCGAGGCTGCATTGCAGAAGGAGTTGGGCCTCCACCAGGACGGCTGCCCCCAAGGTTGCTGGCGGCCGACGGTCTTGCTGTTGATGCCATTGCTGGAATTGTTCATTGTCACAGTTTGTCGCTTCTTCCTCCTCCGATCCGTGATCGTCCCGTCTTCTCCCCCCCTGCGCCCTCTGCCTCGTCTTCTTCCCCGACTCCCGACCGGCTCCTTCTTATTTTCAAAGTAGATGTTAGGTAGTTACTCCTTCTCACAAGACTGGGACTGAGCAGAGATTGCCAGCGAGCGGTAAAAGGGCTATGGCAGGTTTTGCCTAAGCCCCAGCCCCTGTGCTCATGTTCTTGCACCATTCGCACAGGTAGTTGTTGGAGATTCGACGGCATTCGTTGAATGAGAATCGTCCCAGTCTTAGTGAGGTCAGACTGATGCTGTGCGCAAGAGTGTTCCCGACGGCCGACCATCCGCTCGTCTCTTCTGAGGCCAGGAGTGGTGCTGGCCAGTGCTCCAGGCCAGCCTCAAGACGACCGACGGTTGAGGATGCCCGAGGAAGACGGCGGCGGCCACCTCACGCGGGGCCAGAGCAGGCTCGAGTAGGAGGAGGGAGGAGAAGGAGGAGGAGGAGGAGGCAGGGAGGAGGGAGGAGAGAGTAGAAGGCAGAGGAAAGGGGAGGCAGGACGGGCAGGTTTAGGAGGCGAGGAGGAGGCGAGGAGGAGGAGGAGGAGGAGGAGGAGGAACAGGAGGAGGAGGAGAGGAGGAGGAGGAGGAGGAGGTATGGAAGGAGGAGGGAGGAGAGAACGGGGAGGGAGAGGAGGGAGAGGGAGGAGGAGGAGGAGGAGGAGGGAAGGAGGAAGGGAGGAGGAGGAGGAGGTAGGAGGCGGGAGACGGAGGATGGGAGGAAGGATGGAAGGAGGAGGGGAGCGGGGCACGCACCAGCTGGAGCTCGAGAGAAGTGCCGCGAGGTTCTGGCAGTCCTTGGGCACCCGCGGAGGCGCGGAGATGCCGAGGCTCCTCCTCCTGCTACTCCTCTCTCATCCTTCAATCCTCCCTCCCCCATACTTCCTCAAAATCCTACCGAGCCGCCTCCTCATAATCCTACTACTCCTCTCCTCAGCTTCCTGCGCGCTTCCTTCGCTTACGACCTCCTCCCCACTCCTCCGCTCCTTCCTCCTCCCCTGCCCCACTAATAATCCTCCATTTACCCATACCCCCTCCCTCCTCCTCCTCTCTCCTCCATCCTCCTCCTCCTCTCCTACCCTCCTCCTCTCCCTCCTCCTTCCTATCCTTCCTCCGTTCCTCTCCTCCTGTCCTCCTCCTGTTCCTCATCCTCCTTCATCATCACTACTCCTCCTCCTGCTCCTCCTCCTCCTCACCCCTCCGCCTCCCTCCCATCGTCCTATCTAAACGTGTGCTCGAGAGGCTGCTGACACTGAGAGAAGGCCCCACGGGTGGTCCGATGTCCTCCTCCTCCTCCTACTCCTCTCCTATCTCATCCTCCGGCTGCTGCCCTCATCCTCCCTCCACTCCTCCTCTCACTCCCTCCCCTCCTCCGTCCTGCCTCATATCGCTTTCTTCCCTCCCCGATCCTTTCGAGGAGCAGGGGGCACCGGCCTTCAGGGGCCAGCTCCTCTCGGGAGCCCAGAGTTCTGCTGTTCCAACCTGCTCTTCGCCTTGATCACCAGAAAGAAGTTCGAGCCTCAAGGAAGAGCCGAAGCGGGAGGCGTTTCACGTGGCGGGCCCTGGAAGGCGATTCTCGCTCGACACGTGTTCGATACTTTTCTGGGTGCGCGGATTTATTTCCGGGATGTGGTCCTGAAGCGCGAGGGGAGCGACATAAATCCAGGAGTTAGAGGAGGAGAAGGAGACCGGTCTGGGCCCGAGCCGCTGCCGTCTTCACGGGGGCAGCGCGAGGGGCGCGAGGGGGCGAAGATGATCGTGCATCGCGGGTTGGCTGCCAGACAGGGCCAGGTTTCCAGCGGTGTTGTTGAACAGCGAGGGCGCGCCGTCGTGGATGCCTGCAGGTATTCCCCAGCAGGTTTCCCGGCGACGTGAAGTGTGAGGGGAGCGCGGGATGGACGCAAGGCGTAGGTCACATTTGAAGCATCACTGCAGCTCCAGATGTGCACAGTCACCTTCGGTCGGGGGCGGAAAAGAGGGGGGTGATGATTAAGGGGGGGTGGATATCATGGCGGGGGGCATGATACTTCCCCAGATGTGATGGCGCCTGTTCTTACTTCATTACGTCCCTGGCCCCCCCCCCCAAGGGCCGCGCACATGCCGCCGGCCATGATTTGCGTCCCCCCTCTTGGACGACCCCCTCTTGGCCGCCCCCGATTTGGGTTGACAAGTACGACATGAGATTGCTATATTGGAAATGTGTGAAGCGAGTCTCGCGTGGCCAGGGATTGACACGGGCTGACATAGTTGCCGATTTTGTTGATAACATGTGTTGTAGTATCAGGCCCATTGCATCGTCTTATGAATTGAATGGCTTATTGATTGGGCCTCCAAAATGCACTACGTCGTGTGCCATAGCGTTTTCCAAGTATTGTCAGCATCGTACTCTTTGTAGTCCACCGAATGCTACAAGCATTCAGCTTCGTCTTCCGCTTATCCGTATTCCGCGTCCTTCTTCCTACACTTCCCCGTTTGTTGCCCATCCCTCTTCATGAACCCGTGCCATCCTTTCATGTGTGACTATTGCTCATGTATGTGTAAGAGTACTCGTTCGTGTCGCGGCCCTGTTCCTCCTTCCCAACCGTCTCCATCATCACCGAGTGTCAGAATGAGAAGGGGGGGCACAAGCCTCCCCGTCGAGCCGCCTTAGATCCCCCCCCAGGTCAGCCATGAAAGGGCGCGCCCCCTTCTGCCCAGACCGCCATTGGAGCCCTTAGGGACAGCTCAAAATCAGACCCCCCCCCCAAATCTCAGGAGGGAAACAACACACAGTCACAATGAATCGTCGAGTCCCAGGAACATGTGCGAAACTATTGGGGAAGTGGGGGGGGAAGACGAAAATCAAACAACAAAAACAAAAAAATGGGGAATCCTGGGATTTGTGTGTGTATTTGCGTGCCCCTGGGCCCCTTCAAAATCAGACCCCCCCGCCCCTGATCACTGCTCGGCGAGCACGGGGAGGAAGAGTGGAGGAGGGGGAGGCGAGCCCTCTCGGCAGGCGGCGGGGCTTTTCTCAGACGCGCCCTCGCGCTTCTCCCAGAGCCTCCTCCGACGGCGCGGACGGCCTCTCGGAAGAGCGAAGGGCTCCTGAAGAGCCCCGCCGCCTTAGAATTCAGGCGGGCCTGTCCCTCTACAGGGAGAATTTGCAAAAAATAGTCAAAAACATAGTCTGGGGACGATTTTGGGGGACTACTCTTGCCAATTTCGGGGGGCACGTTTTTTTGTATGTTTCATGTTGTCGCCCACAATCCCACTTGTAGGGGACACGCCCACCGCCGTCCGAGAAGGCCTGTCCCTTCTCTTTCCCCCCCCCGGGCGCGCCGCCGAAAGTTCTGGCATTCTGCGTGCGGTCGGCTCGTGCCGTGCCGGCGCGGTGGCGACCCCGCCGCGGACGTTCAGG